CCCTCCCCCCTCCCCCCTCCCCCCTCCCCGTGATAGGCCCCGGTGTGTGATGTTCCCCTTCCCGAGTCCAAGTGATCTCATTGTTCAGTTCCCACCCTACGAGTGAGAACATGTGGTGTTTGGTTTTCTGTTCTTGCGACAGTTTGCTGAGAATGATGGTTTCCAGCTGCATCCATGTCCCTACAAAGGACACAAACTCATCCTTTTTAATGGATGCATAGTATTCCATGGTGTATATGTGCCACATTTTCTTAATCCAGTCTGTCACTGATGGACATTTGGGTTCATTCCAAGTCTTTGCTATTGTGAATAGTGCCACAATAAACATATGTGTGCATGTGTCTTTATAGCAGCATGTTTCTTATCTTCCCAAGAAAGCAGAGGCCACAGACCAAACTGCCCACAACTTGTCACTCCCTTCTGTCAAATTTGTCACATTCAAACCTGGTTTTTCCTTTGTCCTTCCTCTGTCAGAAGATGATGTGTCCTTTCTCAGACTGAAATCCCGTTCATATACTTATGCCACTGAAACTTCAGTTTTCTCAAGGACCTTCCTCTAACGAGTTTTACCCTTCTCTCCTGTATCTTTAACCTCAGTCTGCCCAGCAGCTTTTTCTTTAATGTTGTTTCCCAAAGTTCGTTTTCCAGCCCTGATATTCTCACTCTATACACACACTCTTCCTGGCCCATTTCATCCACTTCTATGGTTTCCAATATTATTTATAAACTGATACTCCTAAATTTGAAATTCTAGTCCTCCCTCTTACGTGCCAAACCATCATTTTCAAACACCTACTGGTCAGTTCCACTTGGATGTCACACATAAATCTTAAACTTAATATAATGACCACTCTGCCAGGTGCGGTGGCTCACGCCTGTTATCTCAGCACTTTGGGAGGCTGAGGCGAGCGGATCACCTGAGGTCATAAGTTCGAGACTAGGCTGGCCAACATGGTGAAACCCCGTCTCTACTAAAAATACAAAAAATTAGCCAGGCGTGGTGGCACGCACCTGTGATCCCAGCTACTCAGGAGGCTGAGGCAGGAGAATCACTTGAACCTGGGAGGTGGAGGCTGCAGTGAGCCAAGATCACGCCACTGTACTCCAGCCTGGGCAACAGAGTGAGACTTTGTCTCAAAAAATATACATATATAGTGACTACTCATTTTCCCCCAAAACATTTCCTCCTATTTATTCTCTTAGTGATCCACGTAGTTTCCCAGGCCAGAAACCTGGGAGGCATCACACATTTCTCTCTCCCCATTATATAGAAGGTTACCATGCCTTGGAAATTTTTACCTTTTCAGTCTATCCTCTCTTTCACTACTGTCTAACTCAATGCAAGCAACCTTTTGTCTATGTCCACTACTGCTTCAAAACAGAGAACCATCATTTTTTAAACTTTGCTCTTTTTGCTTCAGTCTCAATACCCTCTAATTCTTCCTACCAATGGTCAAGGCAATGTTACTAAATATCAATTTGATCATATTCCCCTTTTTCAAAAAGCTCTAATGACTCCAATCATCTTCAGTGTAAAATTTATTTTACATGGAATACTAAAAACACACGCTATTTCCTCTGCTAGGAATGACTCCCCTCCTCCAACTTCCAGGCTCAGTTAGATACCCCTTGTCTGTACCTGCAAATAGGAAATAATCAAAAAGTTTTTATTCATGAAATACATAAACATAAAGCTTCAGAGGTCTCTTCCCCTGAAGGCCACTGGATATTAATCACATAGAAGTGATTATAGAAGGCTTCAAAGTAATTTTTAAAACAAAGAAAAAAATTTCATACAAATATTCCCAAACAAATTAGCTAGTACAGTTGTACTAAAAAAAGTTATACTGCTAAAACATGAAGATTTATGTATAAGGACTAAGAAAAATAGAAAAAAGAGAAAGAGGTTATTATAAAATGACAGAATAAAGTCATAGCCAGTACAACAACAATTTAATATACAAAGGATAGAGTTATAAATGAAAACAGTAACATAGGAAAAACCATGTAGAAGTCCAAAGACAGTAAGTAAATATCAGTAAACAAGGCACTATCCTTTATCAATACTCTTTTAATGGTTTTTCCGACAGATTTGAAATCTTTAAATCCAGCTTATTATTAATTTTAAAAAAGAATTACATGGCCAGCCTGGGATACGCCTATAATCCTAGCACTTTGGGAGGCGGAGGTGGACAGATTGCCTGATCCCAGGAGCTGGAGACAAGCCTGGGCAACATGGTGAGACCCTTTCTCTACAAAAAAATACAAAAATCAGTTGCATGTGGTGGCATGCACCTGTAGTCCCAGCTTCTCAGGAGGTTAAGGTGGGAGAATCACTTGAACCCAGGAGGTAAAGGCTGCAGTGAGCTAAGATCCTGCCACTGCACTTCCAGTCTAGGTGAAAAGATCCTGTCTCAATAAATAAATAAATAATTAAATAAAATAACAGTTGAGCACTATGGCCATAAAAGGCAGAAACGACTAAAAATTTGAAATAAAGACTAAATATAAAATGTCTCTGTTAACTAGCTTCTTATACTTTGCCTTAAAGTTTAGTTAGCACCCAAAGAGAAAAATAAAACCAAAATCTTACCAGTTTCTTGAAGAACAAAAGCCAAAATTTGGCACTCTTATTAATTTAATAGGGAAAATTTAATTCAGCCAAACTATTTCTTGAAAGTCAAAGCTTTGTCCTAAAACATCATCATAATTAGGCTAATGATTCTTTGTTTTAAACCTATGACACAGTCAAGATCATTTTTCAATTCCTAAAGTAGTGCCCAGTGTCATTGGGTAAGAAATCAAAAAGCTTTCATTCAACAAATTCTTATAAACATGTACCATATACAAAATTATGTATCAGAGATAATTACAAGAATTACTTTTGCTATTACCTCAAAGACTAGGTGCAATTACAAAATATCTCTCTAGTCAGTGTTCAAGTAAAAACTAATGAGATTTTTTGTGAGTTTGTTTGAGACAGGGTCTCGTTCTGTCTCCCAGGCTGGAGTACAGTGGCACGATCACCACTCACCGCGGCCTTGACCACCTGGGCTCAAGGGATCCTCCAGGCTGGGCATGGTGGTTCACACCTGTAATCCCAGCACGTTGGGAGGCAGAGGTGGGCAGATCGCTTGAGCCCAGTTCAGGAGACCAGCCTGCCAAAACCCTGTCTCTACAAGGAAAAAATAGTGAAAAATTAGCCTGTAATGGTTGTATGCATCTGTAGTCCCTGCAACTTGGGGGGCTGAGTTGGGAGAATCACCTGAGCCAGGGAGTTCGAGGTTGCAGATCGCACCAGTGCACTCCAGCCTGGGCCACAGATACCCCATTTCCAAAAACAAAAACAAAAACAAATGTAATAAATGGGAATTAAATTCCCAAGCTAGACCACAAAAGCCTATAGAGGAACCACAGTTTTTCTATGAATTATTAGAACTGTAAAGTCAGTTCTACAAATTATTGTTGAAATTACAAAATAGTGTTTGATATTTTCTAAATGACAGCATTTCTCTTACAATTAAAACAACTTAATTCTTTAAAATTCTCTAAAACATCCTAATTCTTTAGACTGACTTGTTATAACTTTCAACAGAGGATATAAAAAATAATGAAAATAAATATCAAAACAGACTATTGACCACGTGAAATAAAACCTATCGTAACCGCCAACTTTCCAAAAGTGGCAATTCTGGTTTCCATCACTGGGTAATACTTACTTTATTAAAGATATACAAGATAGAGTTTGTTGAAAACTGATAAAACCAATGCACTTACAGAAAAGTTAATATTCCTTACAAGCCTAAAATCCGAAATTTATTGGTCAAGTTCTAATTACATAATCTTCATAATAATAAAGGTACATTTAAATAAGTATGTAAATATGAAATCCCTCGGTGAATTTTTAGGGCTAAGAGTAAATGATATTGCAGGTAAAACAAACTACATTAAATAGGAATAAAAATAAAAATAGGCCAGGCCTGGTGGCTCATGCCTGTAATCCCAGCACTTTGGGAGCCGAGGCGGGCAGATCACCTGAGGTTGGAAGTTCGAGACCAGCCTGACCAACATGGAGAAACCCTGTCTCTACTAAAAATACAAAATTAGCCAGGGCTGTTTTTGGTGTTTTTTGTTTTGTTTTGTTTTGTTTTGTTTAGAGAATTAAAATGGCATTTTAAGAGAAAAAGCAAATAGTAACCAAATGTTAAATATTTCAACTCAAGAACTATTTGGAGAATTTAATTTCCGTGTATTATTTACTGGGGTCTCTTTAATAATACCCTTTTGCTCTGACATCTTTCCCATACATAATATAAAACCATCCTTTAACCCTATTTTACAGCTGGGGAAAAAAAAAAAACCTGAAGCTCAAAGAGGTTAAGATTTATTGCTAGAACTGAAATTCAGGTGTGTTCGCTCTGACTGCAAGCCCAACTTCCCACTACAGCACTGCTCATAGCAAGAAGGTTTAACATGATTCTGTGGATCTTCAATATTCTTCATAAATTAGGTGGCTCTAGATAGTTTAACACGTCAAAGGATTGATAGAGTTAAGCTGAATGATATATGCCAGAAGGAAAACTGTTTCCAATTCAGTGATACGCCACAAACGTGAGGAGTACACGTTTCAACACGATGAGTGGATACTCGTTTTGGGGAGCAACAAACAAGTTTTTCAATTTTGGCTTGGCCACTTTCGAGCAAGAAAAAGGCCAGAATAGGCTAGTGTACAGTACACCTAGCTGGATTAACTGAATAGGCTCACTTCACGAACTTCACTCCTAAACTGGGAGGACAGGAGAGGGGAGAAAATCAAAGTGCCTCAGCTCCCTCCAGTGGAAACTATAAAAAGCCCTTGTGGAACAACCCACCGACTCACAAATCTGGAAAGCTGATGACCGAATGAAAATTAGACAGGACTAGAAACTGGGGTGAAGCACTTGGTCTAACAGGACCAGGCATGCTCACAGTGCCTTCTCCTGACGTCGCCTGAAGCTTACCTCTTTGACAGGTGGGAATTTCTTCTTGCACTCCAGTGACAAGGCGCGCAAGTCGCTCTGCATATTCTCCAGCAGCTTCTTCACCGCCTCGGGGCTGCTGGTGCCAGACATGATCCTCCAAGGTCCCAGCCAATTTCCGAGAGGTACAAACAAGCTCCGGCACGGTCAGCTCCTTGGGGCCACAGGCAGCTCCCCCCAGCTGTCTCTGGTCCTTCAGCAGCGCGCTTCTTGGGCCCTGCAGGGACTCTGCCGGGCCCTGGGCTGCGAACCCGGAGCCTGCTCGAGCGTCCCCCAGCAGCCTGACAGCAACCCCTCCGGCTTCTCTCGGAGGCGCCCCCCGCGGTCGCCCCGCCCCGCTAAGCTCCGCCGGCTCTGGCCGAGGAGCCCACAAGGCGGGCAGGTCCCTCCGCTGCCGCGGGGCCCAGCCACACCGGGTGTCACCAGCTAACCCGGCAAGAAGATTTAGCGCCAGCTCCCCAGGCCCCTAAGACTCGCAGACGCCATTAGCCGAGTCGCCCACAATTCCGAGCGCTGCCGGGACACGTCAGCCGCACTTCCGGGCACCGTGGCCTCCGCCACCGCCGCGGCCAACCCCGGAGGCAGGCCTTCGTCGGGGCGGGGCTGGGGCGTGGCCATGCTCGGGGCTGGCCGGGTTCCGGGTGGGCAGCGATTCCCCACAGCCCCACCCCTGGCACAAAGTAGGCTAGAGGCAGAGTTTGCGGCGTCAAGATTCGCTTCTTTTTCATTAACAAGGGCCTGAACAGAGCCCCCGAGTACTCCTTGGCATATCTCTTTGCATATGTTTGTGTTAATTGTATTTCGGTGTACATAATTTGTTTCCCTGTGGATTGATCTTAACGTGTCTCCTCCTGCTTCATTTCGAATATCTGGACTAGTGGCACCAAATCAGTGGCTACCTCCTGTGTGTGTGTGTGTGTGTGTGTGTGTGTGTGTGTGTGTGTGTGTATATATATATATTTTTTTTTTTTTTTCTTTAAGCGCAACTGGTGCACTTACTGTGGAGTAGCCTCTGATTTTCCTAATCTCTAAAATGAGACTACCCTCTGCTCCACGCCTTCCGCTGGCTTCCCATCTCACTCAAAGTAAAAGCCAAAATTCCTACTATCACCTACTAGGCGCTACGAGATCTGTCCCTGCCTCTTTACTGGCAGATGCTCCCAGCTAAAAGGAGAGTTTCGGAAGAGTGGGGGCTGCCGGTTCTTCTTCTTTTTAAATCTTATTTTGTTTCCTATGTATCTCTAGCACCTAGAACAGTGTCTGGCATATAGTAGGTAATCAGTACATACTTGTTGAATGAATACCATTACAAAATCAGAAAGTTTCGAGGCTCGAATAGCGCACAGATACATAAAAGCCTTCATCAGGTGTGAAGTGCCAAATAAATGTGAGGCAAAAGCCAAACAGAAAAATTGTCATCTGTATTTCCCCAAGATCCAGGTTGGTCTACTTTTGCCCCCAAGACATTTCGCAGCTGCTGGTCAGAAAACAGAAGAAGATGGAGGAAAAATCAGAAACAGTAGAGATAAAGAAACCAACACCTTCAGACAGCTGAGCTTATGACACCTTTACGGGATGGAAGACGGTGAGCTATGAGATTGTCAGTGGGTAGCACTGTTTGGTTGTAACAGAGCTACTTTGTAAGCTAAATGATTTTATTTTTTTTTCCTTCTGATAAGAAGCAAAGCAAGGATGGATAAAGGGGGCAGATGAGGTAATAGTAGAGAGCTCCTAGAGCGGTAATTTTGATCATTTGTGCCTATTACACAACTTCTGGAAAACTTGACAGCTCCTATGGTGTAAGCTTTATGTATGAAAACCTGTGAATTTAGCAAAAAAGTTCAAATGGAATATATGGCAAACATTATTCTTGAGGTCCCAGGGAACTTGTAAAAATGAGGTGCTTTTTTTGGGTGGTGGGTGGAGACAGAGTCTTGCTCTGTCACCCAGGCTGGAGTGCAGTGGCGCGATCTCCACTCACTGCAACCTCCACCTCCCAGGTTCAAGCAATTATCCTGCCTCAGTATCCCAAGTAGCTGGGACTACAGGCGTAGGCCGTCACCCGGGCTAATTTTTTGTATTTTAGTAGAGACAGGGTTTCACTGTGTTGCCCAGGCTGGTCTCCAACTACTGAGCTCAGGCAATCCGCCCACCTAGACGTCCCAAAGTGCTAGGATTACAAAGGCATGAGCCACACCCCAGGCCTTTTTGTTTGTTTGTTTTTTGTTATTTTAGTAGAGGTGGGGTTTCACCATGTTGGCCAGGCTGATCTGGAACTCCAGACTACAAGTCATCCACCTGCCTCGACCTCCCAAAGTGCTGGGATTACAGGCATGAGCCTGTAATACTCGGCCAAAAATGATGCTTTAATAATTGGGCTAGTGATATAGGATCAAATTTTCTGCCTTTCACTATGTAGCCAACTTTTCTTTTGGATTTTTTACAATTGGTAACTTTGGCATGATTAACTCAAAATCATCTTTAGAATCTTTTACACCTCTTTTCAGAGTTGAGGACATGCAATTGGAATTCATTGATTAAAAACAATACTTAAAATGATTTGAAAAGCCAAATTTTAAAAGTAAGGTGTAGCGGCCAGGCGCGGTGGCTCACACCCATAATCCCAGCACTTGGGGAGGCCAAGGCAGGTGGCTCACCTGAGGTCAGGCATTGGAAACCAGCCTGACCAACAAGGTGAAACCCCCGTCTCTACTAAAAATGCAAAAATTAGCCGGGCGTGGTCATGGGCACCTGTAGTCCCAGCTACTCGGGAGGCTGAGACAGGAGGATTGCTTGAACCTGGGAGGCAGAGGTTGCAGTGAGCCGAGATCACACCACTGCACTCCAGCCTGGGTGAGGGAGTGAGACTCTGTCTCAAAAAATAATAATAAATAAAATAAAAAAATAGGGTGTGGCAAGTACCTATATCTAGTATTCTGTAAATTTCTTTTTTAAAAAAAATACACAATAGCCTTTTATGTACATGTGCCAGGAGAGATTATACTGCCTCGGAAACAATGCATGGCTTTATACCAAAGCCAAGCAAGTTACCTAAGGTAAAAATAATTTTTTAATCTACAAGTTAAGAAATTAGCTAAAGTTAAGAGTTAGCATTTCAAAAAACTGAATATTTTCTCTTTTAGTAGCAAAACCAAATATTCAAATACATATTTTTGTTCTCAAGTATCTCAAGAAATACTTTCAAAATTGCAGCACTCCTATAAATGTCAGTGTAGGTATAAAACACTCCTCTGTAGCGAGTGTTTTAGCGAGTTTACTCCTCTGTAGCAACAAAATCTCTCTTCACTGAAAATTACATTAATAAATGCCTGATAAATTTAACGATTTATTATCATAAATAATGCTTTCACAGCATCATTACATGGTAGTTAGGCCCAGACTCTGAAGTTGGAAAGCTCTAGTTTGAATCTGAGTTCTGCTGGTTTCTCCCTGGGTCACTCTAGCACATTATTTAACCTCTCTAATCTTCACTAATCTTTACTACTTAACCTCTCCATAGCTTTAAAAGAAGAAAACAAAAGTGCCTGCTTCATGAGATAGTTGTGAGGTTAAATGAAATATTGTAGGTAAAGCATGCCTGGCACACATTTTTTTGAGTAAATGTTTTAAATAGGTGGTAGAAAAGAGAACTCTTAAATTTGTAGTCATCACTAATGCCATCTTTTATTAACTTCTAACAGAATTATCAGCGAGTTTTGTCCTAGTATTTAATCTTCTAGTTGAAAATTAGGAAATCCATGTCTTTTTCTGAGTTCTTATTATGAATCTTTTAGAAAATATATCTATTTAACAATGAGTATATATTTACGTGTAATAAGAAAATTTGTCTAATGTCATTCTGAAATATCTTAGTTTAATGATGAAATACAAATATTATTCAACCTACCTTTCTAGTTGTTCAGTCCCTCTGATTTTATCACATTTACTTATTCTCCTCTTAGACTTTTCTTTTACCTACTCCTTAGTTATTAGTGTTTCCCAGAATTCTATTCTCTGCTGTCTTCCCCAGCCCCACTCGCTTGTTTTATTTATTCTCTTTGAGTGATCCTTTGCACACCAATGGCTTCAATTACTGCCAATCTTTTGATATCACCCTGTATAACCTCCGTGTTGATACATATCAATAGAAGGTGCAGACTAGCAGAAATACCACCACACAGACACCACTTCGGTTTACTTATCTAAAGGATACGTAAAGGAATTAGTTGCAATATCAGCTAAGAGATGAAAGTGCAAGTTTCTAAACCTTCCAAATACTCAGACCTTCTGGAATGCATAACATCAGACCTTCTGGAAATTTAATTTTCTCTTCCAGTCCTAGTCTTATATGCATAAAGCTAGACTAGTCCCATACATAGCCCCTTCCCTAGAAACCACTTCACCTAGGCATGGTAGATCCTCAATCACAGAGTAATACAATACACAATATGATAGCTAGGACACAGTTTAGAGGATATTCAGCTATGAACAAATTATTCTAAGCTTTTCTAGGCTAATGCAGTCTAGTTTAGTGTATTCCCAAATTTAGCACGATGAGAATAAAACATGAAACCATAGTCTCGATGTCTCTGAAAGCTATGATGTCAAGCCCTTATACACACTTATAATTACAGAGCTCTTGTCTGAGATCCAGACATGAATATTCAACTGGTTATTGGACATCTTTACCTTTAAGTCTCATTGGCACCTCATATTCCTCCCCAAAAAGGAGTTGATCCTCTTCATACATTACCTTTCTCAATGAAAAGCATCACCATCCATCTGGTTGCCCATATCAAGAAACTAAGAGTCAAACTTGACTCTTCCTTCTCCCTCATCCATTACATCTATGCCGAATCAAGTTCTGTTGATTCTTCCTCTTCATAACTTTCTAATCCATCCCACTTTTCTCTACTCTGACTAACTTGGTTCAGGCATTTACATAGATCACACACACCAAATAGCATCCTCTCCATTTACGATAGGGCACATTCTGAGTAAATGACTCAGTGACTTCACTTCTTCTCTTCATTTACATAGAATATTCGCCAAGTACCAATGGGAAACCTGTAGATTATTGAAACCCCAGAAAATTCTGTAAGTGGGGCTCTTGAGCCTATGCTCCGGCCCATTCCCACACTGTGGAATGTACTTTCCTTCTCAATAAATCCCTGCTTTTGCTTTCCTGGTTTTGTTTGTGCATTTTGTCCAATTCTTTGTTCAAGATGCCAAGAACCTGGACAGTTTTTACTGGTAAAACAATGAGCCATGATCGTATCACAGCACTGTTGCCTGGGCAACAAAATGAGACGCTGTCTCAAAAAAAAAAAAAAAAAAAAAGGAAAGGAAAGGAGGGAGGGGAAGATCTGATAAAGTTTGAGGCCTGTCTCTTCCCTTAATCTATTTTCTGAACATCTTTTTTTTTTTTTTTTTTTTTTTGAGACGGGAGTTTTGCCCTTGTTGCCCGGGCTGGAGTGCAATGGCGCAATCTCGGTTCACTACAACCTC